GCTTTTGTTGCACGAGTGTCACCTTTTGATGGAGTCGGTAACGCGGAGCAATAATCAGCTGACAGACAGGGGATAAGCCTCGGCTGCTGTAGAGGCGAATACGCAAGTCTGCAGTCTCAATACACATCCACACAATCAACATGTGAACAGAGGATGACCTGAAGAGAAGAGGCTTCAGAGGGAAATGTTCATTTGGCTGAAACGGCGCGCAGGACTGCAGACCTCTAACCCCTCTCTCCTCCTCTCCGGCACGAGGTAAGAACTTATTAAAGTTTAAATTGGAAAACAACACACGTTCCTTTTAGCTTCCGAAGCTGCATGTTCACGCACGTTTATTTCTAAAAACAATTGCACAAAATAAGGTTGTTTTCCTGCTTATATTCTGCTCACGTTTTTAGCTGAAATTAATATTCTAAATCCAGACGCTGCAGTCATTTATGCGTCAAACCACACTCATTTTTAAAGCAGGAAAACTACATGGATCCAATGAATAACTACAAACAATAATATCCTTGTAATATACACAATGCACTTTATAAACATGCAGTCCATGTTCCAACAAAAAAGATACAATTAGCAATCTCTTGTTTAAACCGAATTCAAATTTGTCCTGCCTTCGTTTTCGGACAGCTAAAGCACAGGACTACATCTTAATGCGAGATTTGTTCCGCCAGCTGATTTAGAAGAAAACAAATGTATTCAATGTGAAGAAACACACCGAGCCGACACAGCTCTCACCTCCACTCGGCTGGGAATTAAAATAGAAAGCGAGGAAGTGCAAATATCCAAACATGTATCGTTACACCTCCAAATCTAAATAATTAACAACACCTCAATAATATACATAGAATATGAACGGAAACGGAGCCACCTCCGAGTGATGATTGATTAAAAAAAACTAATGCCTGACGCCTCAGCAGGTAAACATTATTGTTTGCATGTCATTATTAGACATGGCAACTATTTAAGCTTCAAAGGTAAATAATAATAATTTACAATTGGATATTAATGTCTGATATTGGCTATATTTATAGACAAATGAAGACTTGATTTTACATGTGTGCTCCTCTTCAAAAATATATGCAAATCATTCTTTACATTTAACCACAGATGATATCCAACAAGCATTTAATTTAAATTCGTGGAGTTTTAGGTTGTGTTATATTCTGAGGAGATGCAGCGGGGAGAGAGGGAGCTGTGGGTTATGGGTTAAGGAAATAAACAAGGATTTCGTTTCAGAGCATGGAGGGGGGGGAGGGTTCTGATCAATAGTTTATTTGGCAGGCAGTGATGCAACAGGCCCAAATTAAATCACAGCAGGACATAAAGTGGTCCAACCAAGCAGCTTTCAAAACTCAACAATCACAATTTGGGCTTGCAGGCCTCTGAAAAAGGATTTAAGTCATTTTCATGTTTTTAATGTAAGATTTGTATTTATAATATCTGCACCTGCCTCAAATAAACATACAAATATTGTAGATGTCGTGGTAATACACCTTTCTTGTATCTCTGCATACATGTGCGCTTTATACACATATGTGCAGTATTTTGCTGTGTATTTTATTTAGGGCTGCTATAGCAGAAGGGACTAAACGCTGCATGTATTTCTGAATAAATGAGGGACAATAGCCAGAGAGAAGATCTACCAAACACAGCACTTTGCCCACGAGTGCAGCGGTCAGGCAGCAGAGAGGGCTGCTGCTGTGTGTCTGGGGGAGGTGGGTGGTTGGGGGGGGGGGGGTTGACTCTGGACCAATGGTGGCCCAGCAGCTTCAGCTAAAGGTCACATGGTGTGACCTCACACATTCTCACCCTCACCTCAAGGCCCGGGGAGAAGTTCTCCATAACAAGATGCACGGACGTCCATCTCTGCTGAACTCTGAAAGCCTCAGAGATCGTTTTTTTTAAGCACAATAATGAGATATAAATTGTTACATTTGCTTTTGATTCACCGCCACAGTTTGCACACTGCAAAATGAAAAACAAAAGAAAGAAAGTTATACGCCTTTGCCTCCGGCTTTGATTTTAAACTGTGCTCTGTGTGAAAATATTGACTTGCTGGTGTCTGCATGCTTGAGAATAGCCGAACAAAGACATGCAAACTTGCTCGCTGCTGGTGTCCGTTGCATGCTTGTTGGCTATATGTTGTGTACATGTATGCGTGTGTGTGTTGCTGTATCAGCCCCTCTCACAGTGGAGGCTTGGTGCTGTTTGAGGGCAGGCGGCTGGCCAGAGCGTGTGAAAGCAGATAACCAGGGCGAATTTCATGACGCACACACTTCCTGCTCTCTGAAGTTCTATTAAAAAGGAGGATGAAAAACAAAAACACACATCTGAGATGTTTTTTCTCTCCAAATCAATTTCTACACATTAAGCATGCTGGAAAGATCAGCAGCACGGCTCTCACGGACCTTGAAATGGACCTGAAATGATCCATCAGGAGAGGCTCGTAAAGCTGTTTGATAGAGGAACTATACCGTGTAAAAACAAATCTTTGAGAATACAGTTTACCTTTCGGCTTGTTGTGCATTACACTGCTGAACCTTCTATCGAAGGTCACGATCTGGAGCGCTGGCTGAAGACCTAAAATGTTGTTTGAGGTGTCTCAAAGCCATTTTGCTCTCTTAGGTCCCCAATTGGACAAAATAAAACATTCAACAAGTGCAGAGAAAAAGGCACTCGGCACCCAATCAGTCCAAAAAAAAAAAGCTGCTGCTGGAGCTCCCTGATGCGTCTGTGTTTGTGTGAGACGAGCTAAGAGCTTGCACGCTCTCTGGATAGAAATGCCATTCAAGTGGCATTATTGAGCATGGAGGCTAAATATAGTAGACCTACCAAGCAGCAAGAAACACCTCTAATGCACGTTGGACACAGCAAACACAGACTCAGCATGTTAAACGGTTGCATTTTTCTAGAATCATACCAACAAATGTGCAGAGAACATAGAACTGATACACACCAGCTACCTAAAGTCTTCCTCATGCCCCTTCATGTTTACCTGACAAGTCTAAAGCTGCTAACATTTTAGCCATATCTCATGCGTCGTGTTCAGACACCTTCGGTTTACACAGTCTGCCCCAGATGGCATCTCTCAGCGCTGTTTTCTTTAGGCCTGTCATCTACTGTAACGTCTTAATTGACGTTTACCTCTGTTCGCCGCCATCAGACACCCGGTGTCTGCATCTGACGAGCAGCCAGGCAGGACAGTTTCCCAGGCTCCAACTCCACATAGCAAATTACACCTGGGCTCTTTTGTTTGTTTTTGATTTTTTTCAATTTGTGTTGTGCAATTCCCCCCTTCACATTCATGGGGGAATGTTAAAAATGTGGTGGAAATCATCAAAGTGTAGTGTCTACCTGTTCATGTTCGCTCAGTGGCCCGAGCGAAACCATGGCTGTCAATATCTTTTGTTGAAAATCAAAGATTGCATAACAGTTCATTTTGCTATAACAGAAGCAAACTATGGACTTTTTCTTTATGGCAATTATCCCAAACTGCTCCGTTAAGTAAGATGAGATGTTTCAGAGAGGAGGTCAAATCATGCAAAATATCCAAATAATGTGGACAACGTTTCCCCGAGTGTGTTTTTTTTATCCCCAGTGGAAACAAAACCTCCAACACTCACAGAGTTAATGTCACACTTGACACGTGGATTGGACTCTCCAGCTGTACAAACATGGCATCTTTGGGCATAAAATGCACAATAATGTGGAGAGGACCACTTAGAGAGAAGCTTTACATCATTTATGCCCCCTATGCCACGTTCAGTTCAAAGCTAGAAGTCAGGAGTTAAGAGTTTCCTCAATAAAACCTCTGTGCTTTCATGTGGTCCAGTTATGTGGGGAAAAGCAAGAATTATGGACAATTACCAGATTTAAATTATACAATGTCAAATAACGTCTCTTATGCAACAGTCAACCGTAACGTCACATTGTCTGGGAGTAAATGCTGAACTAAAATGTATTTGAATGATTACAGGAATGGT